ATTCTTTAGAAAGTAGTTAATGTTATAATCAAAGGTTGTTAAATCAATCACTCTGTAATCGAAACCCACTTGATTGAATTAATAAAGGCACATTTCTTTGTTAGTTCAATATTTTGTGTGTTTTTTTACCGAATTTCATCTAAGGAAGTCTTGAAACAAGGCAGTAGAACGCATCCACAAGCAATCGCTTGAGAGTTGTCTATCGATTGAGGCATTTTTGTCGATCACAACATCTTTGTCGATCACAACAGATAATGGAGCAATAATCTTTTAGCACGCCTAGTGGGACATCTGTACTAACTTGGATCAAGAAATATGGTGCAAACAAGGAATCAAGACGATATTCCGTTTGGGACCAAACTATGGAAATGATGCTAGTCAATGGGAATCATGAAGCAAATTCAAGTGCCCCTCCTATGGAATCTGCGAACCTAGTGAATGGCCAGTCCAATGGTCGAGATAGTGCGCAAATATAAAAATTTATACAGAATCTAAAACAGGTATTGCACAATCCCAATTCTGGCATTAAGCAAGAATTATTTAATACCATACATGAATTGATAAGTGTTCTAACACTAGTGTTGGGATCCATCAATAAAAGGACAAACACTACCACTAGAAATCTAGTGATGAATGAGATAAATATTGGTCATGTGGTATTCCCTATAGAAAATCGAAGAACATCACAAATGGTTGCTAATGAGAGACCAACTAAGACCAACTATGCCACATCAAAATCAATTTAACATATTGTTTGATGGAGAGCCTGTAGATGTCTTTCCAAACTTGTTCCCATATAGAAATTTCAATGGAAGGAATGGACCTAGAATGACCCCCAAAATTCCTGGGAGGGGTTATGAGAGATTTAATATGCCTCCATTGGAACCCATAGATGAATACCTAAGACCAGGGGGCAACCTTTTGATCAAGGTGAAGACCTAAATGGTCGCCAGAATTTGGTTTTCAACAAGAACCAATCTTGGTTCATCAATCTGTCTGCTAATTCGATTCAGACATGGTAGAAAATGGAAAAGCAGTTTCATGCTCAATTCTTTAGACATGAACTAAAGGATTCAAGGATAGTGTTATCTCGATTAAGGCACAAATTCAATGAATCTATTGAACAATACATCGATAGGTACAAAAAGGCTAGGAATAAATGTCATGTCTATTTACCTGAAGTAGAACTTGTGAAACTGGCCCAAAATGGTTTAGACTTCGAATTGAGAAAGAAATTCAAGGGAATAGAGTTCAAGGACTTGTTTGAACTCTTGGCCATGGCCACTAGATATGAAATGTTGCTTAGGAAAGATCAACAAAGGAAAAATCGATCATTTGGAACTTATTTACAAGACTTCGACAGAGAAGTCGAAATAAATGTGACACAAGTCGTAGGAAAGTCACCAATCATATGTGATACCCTGAAAAAGATTTAAGACCATGTCGACATGCCATCTAATCATCCTTTTAAGAAGGATGCATCCCAGACTTCTAGACAGTACTCTTTTGATCTGTCGATGATTGATGCTCTCTTTGACGAGATGATCAACCAAAAGTTTGTAGTTTTATCTCAGAGGCATTGCATCCCACTGGAAAAAGACAGGAAAGAAAAAAATTATTGCAAATGGCACAATTCGTTTAGGCATTCACCTAAGAATTGTATTACCTTTAGGAATTGAGTGCAAGATCCAATACAAAAGGGAATGCTTCAGTATGAAACAAAAGAGGAAGAAACCATGAAAATCAATAAGAATCCTTTTCCCAAGGAAGTAAACATTAATGTGGTTTCTATTAATATGCAAGGAAGTAGGGAATCTTCCACTTCTGGGGTTGGCAAAGAGAGGATTGTTCCTAAGATAAGAGTCAAAGTGCATAGCAAACTTGGCCCCAAAGTGGAGGAGCCATTGGTTATGTGTTTCAAGTGTGCAAAAGAAATAGTCAAACTTAATGCAATCCCGCTAGATGATGTAGTCAAGGAGTTCACTGATAAATAACTCTAATTCAGCACTAGAGGTGAAGGAGATATTCATATTTATAATGGTTATGTAAAAAATTTTGATGGTGTAAACCTAGGACTATTCCCAATCAAAGAAAGACATCAGCCTGCCCACACCATCTCCTAGAGATCAAGATGGATGATCAAGAGGCAAAGGATGGACCATTCTGTTGGGCCATTGATGGCCAAAGAGACTGTGTGGCAAAAGATCAAGATGCAAGAATGCCAAGAGCAACAGTCTCAAAAGAGAAAAATGAGATTTGAGATCATTTTGAAGAGTAGATCAAGAACAATGAATACCCCTAAAGTCTATGATGATAAGTGGCACCAAGTTCAGCACCCAAAATTTTCATTTGGGGCATGATACTAAACACTCATCAGGACTAGAAAAAAAAAGACAACAGAGAAATTTTGTTGCATGGATGAACTGGTGAAATGCTACTCCTTTGGAGGCTTACTCAACTCCTTGTTCGTTGATAGATAGCAAAAACCCAACTTGGACAAGGGCGCAGCAAAAAGAAAGCAAAGAGGTCCAGATTAAATAGAGTATTTTGGACCAAAATATTGCTGAGTTTAAACAAATATTGGATCTATCTAAAGGAGAGGTAGAAAAATTACCTATAGATCCCTCGACAAAAGGGAAAAAGTAAAATGGAAGAAGACGAGAGCATGCTCTTTAATGAGGAGCTAATGGACTTCAACAATATAGAGTCATTTATCAGAGATGATGCACCATGTAACATGATATTGGCTTTACCTGAGTAATTCAAGGCTAAGCCATGACAACCAAGTCAACTTGCAGGAGATGTAGAAGATAGTACTGAGTCAGTAGCAGTGTTTGCAGAAACAGTAAAGTAGTTTAGGTTGATGGAAGGTCTATCAGCATTGAACAAGGAGACTGGGAGGTAGAAAGAGTAATATTACATCCACCTAGGAAAGAAATGTCTAAACACCTAAGACCACTATACATTCGAGTCCACATCGATGATCAACCAGTTAACAAGATCTTAGTTGATAATAGGGCAGTGGTGAATATTTTGCCTTTGAGAATGCTAAAAGTTTTAGGCAAAGAAGAAAAGAATTTACTTCATATTGACATAACAATTAGTAATTTTGCAGAGGACTCTTCTTCTGCAAAAAGATTTCTACTAGTGCAACTCCAAGTGGGTAATAAGGACACCTCAGCAATTTTTTTGTGGTGAATTTCTCATCCAACTTTAATGCTCTTCTGGGAAGAGATTGGATATTGCAAATGGTTGTGTGCCATCATCCCTGTACCAAGCTTTAATCTTTCTGTCAAATAATGACAATGCAAGAAGAAAAGGGATAGAGGTACATTGAGCAAATACCACATTGAGCAAATACCAACTCATTCCATGTAGGTGCATATAATGTGGCAGCAAACTTATATCATTTGGATTTAACTGCCATAGGGGTAGACACTAAAGCAAGGACATCAGAGAGGAATCTGGATGAAAACCTGCACCAAATCTGCCACAATTTGGCTAGGATTGAATTCCTTATGTCTAAGCCAAGGGAAGAAGATACTACTGAAGAGTATTAGACCTGCAAAGAGATCTTGAGTTGGCAAAAGGCTACCAGAAGGATTCATGAAACCTGTGAAGGTTTTATGGTGGAGGAATGCCAAGCAAGGAATACTAGGGATGAAGACGAAAGAATCAAGGGATATCAGATGGTTTCAGAATCGATGGCATAGGAGGCAAATGAAGAACATATTGGTGCAAGGAAATACAGAAAATTGAAGGTTGATTGAAAGGATGGAGAGCAAAAAGAAAAAAAAATTAGAAAATCAAACTAGGTGATATATGAATAGATATTTCATGTCATTATAGCTAGTGTCTAGTGCTTTTCTTTAGAATTATTGTTTAATTGAAAGGATGGATGTAGGTTTCCTGAATATGTGTGTCACTGGTTGATTGCCTTGGCATAACTTTGTTTCTGTAATGAGAATTTTCTTTCAAGAATTATGAAAGTTTTCTTTTGTTTCATCATTATTCAACCTAGGAAGCTATGAGGTTGATTTATCTAGTTAAAATTATTGAACATAAAGAAAATCCAAAGGATGGCCATCTTTGGAGTAGGAAGTTATCTCTATTATATTGAAGATGCATACATAAATCCAAACATAAAGAAAAAAAATAGGTGGGCCACACATAAGGAAGAAAAGATCTCCTATTAGATAGACCAAATCATCATGTACATACAAAAAAAAAAGAGTAGAATATACAGAGGTTATAAAAAGCCATAAAGAAAAATATAGCTTGAAAGTATATCATTCGTTTGACAAGAAACGTAATTGCTGTTGAGCATGATTTAAACTCTCGGTTGTAGGCCCATAGCCAGCCATTTCCATCTTGGTGGAAGGCCAGCAGACTTTTCTTGCCTTATTTTGATGACCTCTTCTTAAGCTCAATTTCTTCATCTCTTTCTTTCAAATTCTCCTCTTTTTCTTTATTGGAAGTAAGCTGAGGAGCGAAGTCTTTGATAGACTTAATGAAACTTATTTTGGTCATTGACTCATCTTTAAAGTAGTTGGGTTGGGAGATGTTCGTTTACAGGTGAGCACTCATGTAGGCCACTTGTTCTTGTTGTTGTTCGTTGAAGTAAGTTAATGAAACAACAGAGACTTTGGCCAAGCATGAGGCCATAGAGGAAAGGTCAGTTCAATGAGTTGATCAAAGGACAACTCTAGCAATTTGAAGAAAATAGAAAATTCTTGCTACAATGCAACATCGATGGGTGGAAAAGAAATGTTTGAAGTCAACAAAGAGTCTACTACTCTCATAAATTCATCTGTTTTCTAGTAAATGGCTTCAATGTCAAGATCAAAGGTGGAAACACAAGAGGTGGATTCAGGCATTGACTGTGAGGAAAAGAGAGGCATTTGTTAGTAGAGTGGTTATGGGGAGAGCAAGAAAAAGAATCAGAGGAAAATGGTGTATAACTTATTTACAGAAGAGGCAGAAGGTAAAGACTTCTTTAACTAATCTGGCTGATTACTAGGCTCAATTAGGAGATCAATAAGAGGTGTCCTCGTAGAGGGATCCTCATGGGAAACCTCTTCCTGAACAGGGCTAGGTGGGCTGAGCGGATGCTGTTGGAGGACAACTAAGTTGGAATGGTTAATTGGACCTTCAACTGGGATCGCTAGAGAGAGTGTGATATGCTCTATGTTAGTCTGTTCCTCAAGATTACCACCCATATTAGCAAGAGAAAAAGGATGATTGGTGGCTATGTGATCTTCAATAGTAAAAAGAGGCATGAATTGACTGACAGGAGTAGTCATTACTATAGTAGCCAGCATTTCCTCCCCTTAGTTCATGGAGGGGATGTTGCTTCTTTAAGTAAGGGGATGAGAGACAAGATGCCCTAGATCGATGGGTTTCGAAGGTGTAGGTAATTTTTTTCTCCTCTTCTACAAAAAGGAAGGATAGAGGAAATAAGGGCATGCATGCTTAGTTAGAAAAAGAAAGCAAGAAGCTAAAGGAAATGGTTCATGTACCTTCGCAGCCACTTTGAATCTTTTGTCTATTTGCTGGGTAGAAGGAACAAGTTGACTCAATGGAATGTCTTCACTATCAGACAGAGAAGGGAGTGTATCTTGAGCTTTCTCCAAGATAACTAGATTAAGGGGTAAGGTAGTTTTTTTGGAAATTTCTTTTGTCCGTTTGCTTGGTAGAAGGAACAAGTTGACTCAATGGAATGTCTCCACTATCAGACAGAGAAGGGAGTGTATCTTGAGCTTTCTCCAAGATAACTGGATTAAGGGGTAAGGTAGTTTTTTTGGAAATGTCTTCTAGGGCATTTGTAGGAGAAGAAGTTGTCTTTTTCTTGCGAACAAGAGGAACTTCTTTAGTACCTTGGTCTTTGGCAACATCAAGCACTTCAGCATCGATGTCTGCTGGAGGAGTTTTAACTTTCTTAGAAGATTGTGAGATAGCATTATGAGTATCTATGGCAAATTGCAACAACTTCGGAGAGGAAGTGTTTTGTCTTTTTTTTGGATCTTCAAGTAAAATAGATTTCCCTTTGTTCATGGGAGCAGGAGGAGAAAGAACAGCCTCATGGTTCTCTTTTTATGACTGGAATGAGTCTCAGTGGCTTGTTTATTTTGGAAACTAAGCTTAGAGATATATTTTTCTAAGGGATCAACAAAGAGCAAGGCTAAAATTTTTTGCCACCACTTAAAGAAAAGAAGAGACGATGATGGGTTAGAATTAAAAGGGAGAAATTGGGAAGTCCCTAAAGAAGTTTCATAAGCTTGAGAAATTTGGGTAATCAAGGCATCAGATTTTATCTTTAGCCTGTCACCTGCAGGCTTATCGATAGAAAGATGCGTGTAAAGGAAAGGAATATTTTGGGTTAAGCCATATTAGCTAGGACTATAACTTTCGAAGCTGCAGTTAGAAAATTTGGAGGATGAAACAAAACCCCCAATATAAAGGTATCGAGAGATCAAAATGCTATACCAAAAAAGGCGGTGTGATTCTCTAGCTTCTTCTGAGGAAGTATCTAGATCATCAAAAAAGGGCCTAAGAAGGGAGGCAAGGCAGAGAAAATTAGAAAATTGGGTGTTCATAGCATCATCTCGATATAAAGAAAGATTGAAAAGAGTGTTGTAGTAAGAATCAAACGTCTGGGTATAAAGCACTAAAACAGAGAGAAATCGATGGGCATAATTCAAAGGGAATGAATTTAGGATCAGGCAAAGTAGCAGAGGGCCAAATCTCAAGGAAATAGGCATAAAGCCAAGCCTGAAAAAGCCAAAAAGGGACCCCCACAGCTAGCAGCGATCCTATTCTTAGTAAGATTAAAGAGGCCCCCGCCATTAGGGAATGCACCGAGTGTCATAGCTAAGTGAGTAGCTCTAGAAGCATGTGTACAAGGTCATAATGAGGGGCGTGATCTTGCTAATAAAATCTCAAATCACAGAGTTGCGTGAAATCCATTCTATTTTCATGCAACAGCTATATGATCAATAATTTCATGTATGGCTAACCCAACAACGAAAGTTTCGTAAGGAGAGCTATTTTAGGTTAAGAAGATGTGAAAATGTGTTTCTCTCTATAAGAATAATACGTTCCGAGGATGACTAACCCTTTTAATCTAGTCCATATAATGTCTTTCTTAGGAGCTAAAGGAAATGCATCTCAGGTACATCAATTAGTAGGAATGAGAGGATTAATGTCAGATCCTCAGGGATAAATGATTGATTTACCCATTCAAAGCAAGCAATGAAACCAAAGACATATATAGGCTAGGTTAGCCAAAATATGGTTATCAGTTCAAGGATATAAGGTGACCCTACTTTTTCATGGTAAGAAGGGGTAGAGAAAATGTCTCAAACAAATGTTCGAGTACCAGGCACTACGACGCTGAAGCAACCTATGTCAACGCCCAAGACAAAAAGGGCTAAGTCAAGGTTTTGTTTTTGGCCAATTAGATGGCTATACCAACATACTCTCGGGTCACTTTGAAACTTGGGACGTATAGAACAAATCGACACAGCCAATGAAGAAGGAAAGCGACATGCAATGCGGATGATGAACTAGGGGATTTAGAAGTGAAAAATGATTGATGAGATCATTATATCCTATTCTAGAAGGAATAATGAAGAAATCATGACTATAATCAGTAGAAAGACAAGCATTCACCTCTACACCTGTCGATAGGAGCCTAGTTAAAAAGATGACATCTAAAATCGTTGGGGACATCATGCCTATGGGAAAAAGTATGGCATTGCACGATTTGGACCAAAAGCATGCAGCAGAACCAATCAGCAATCGCTTCATATGCAAGTCTTGGGTGAAAAGCATGATCATTCCAAAAATACCCAGCCTTCACCATTTAGAGGCATAAAGAGCTTCCATTTTGGTGACCCAATCAACCCAACTTGGTCAAGGTTGATCCATGACTGAAGTGGGTTGGTTCCCTGTTTCCATGACTTCCACAAAAGTTGCGATTGGTTCAACATTAGGGTTTTGCCTTTGTGAACAAGGTAGTGATCAGAAAACCCCTCACAGGCATACGATTTGAAAAAAGGACCTAGAGCGAAAACCCCACTTGAGTTAGGGGTAGGAATCAAAACCCTTGGGTTTACAAATTCGTTGGCTGCTTACTTAATTTCAGGAAAGAACCTCGGTGAGAAAGGAATCTCAAAGACAGTTGAACATGAAGGGTTTTGTTACTTGGGAGCCATTTAAGGATCAGCAAAAGGGTAAAAAGGAAAATCACTAGAGGTTTCTTCGAAGAACTAGAAGGAAAGCAGTCGAGGGAAGCTTAGTGAACAGTCCAGCCAGAAAAAGCTTTTAAACATATGTTTAAAGAAGGCAATAGTAATGATTGTTCATTTACTTGAGTTAACTAAGAATAAAATTCAATTAAATGAGGGGGTATTGTTTAGACATTAAATGCAAAATTATGAAAGCATTCGATGTATATGCTGTTGGCAAAGCTAAAAATCATTAAAGGTTTGTCATGTGTCAAGGTTTGAAGAAAAGGGCGGGAGGCGACCAGTCACAACTCTAGTTTAAAAGAAGAAATAAGTGCCTAAGAGTTACAAAGTCAAATAACCATCGATAAGGGAGAAACCATCGATAAGAGATAAGTGTCTATAAAAGAGGAAAAGGAAGAAGACAAAAGAACAACTCAAACCCCCTCCCCCAACAAGACCCACAATTAGGGCATTTAGGAGTAGTGGTAGAATTTGTTTTTAAGAAGTATTTAGTATTGTAATGAAAGGTTATTAAATCAATCACTTTGTAATTGAAACCCACTCGATTGAATTAATAAAGGCATATTTCTTTGTTAGTTCAGTATTTTGTGGGTTTTGTTACCAAATTTGATCTAAGCAAGTCTTGAAACAAGGCAGTAGAACCTATCCACAAGCAATCACCTAAGAGTTGTCTGTCGATTGAGGCATTTCTGCCGATCAAAACAGATTTTTGGAGCAATAGGTATGTTAATAGATTGAATTTAGATTTGATTCCAGTTCGATTGCCAAATATGGATTGATAAGTTATCCGAATTCGAAGTTGGCTATAAAATATCTCTATGGTCGTGATTTATTTAAAGAATAAATCAAAGTAATTTGCTTTAGTCGAAATACTTAAGTTATATCATCTCTAACAATTTAAGTTTTCAGAGTGGTTGGTGGTAGACCATGGTACAAAAGAGATGGTTTTGTGTTTGAATCTCATTGCCACACGGATAATTATAAAATTTCCACGTGCTTGAACCAAATTGTAATCTATATCTGATGGGATGTATTAAAATATAAATATTTAAGTTAACATTATCTCTATCTCTAACTGTAAAAAAAATGCATTGGATAACCAGATTGAATTTTAAGCCAAAATGGGATTCGTATCCATTGAATTTCAATCAGAAACTAATCCGCTGTCAGACCTAGTTGAGTTGAGTTTGGTCATTGTTTGAAGTTTTTTTTTTTTTTTGGGTTTTTGGTCCGGGTCATTGTTTGGTGTTGAATTTGTTGTTTTGCTGATGACTATGGAGAGAATCCGTTACCTTCTCCATGACCAAACTTTCAACCTTAGCTGAAGCACCTACAGCTCTCTCAGGAGAAGGTAGTAGTAGTTTTTTCCCTTTACAAACACTGTTCCATTCATGTTCAAAGCTTTCTCTTTTCAAGAACTTCTCTTCCTATACTGAGTCCCAAGTGATTTCTCCAAATCTTATGAATTCCCTATTACAATATTTTGTGCTCACTAAATTTGAGTTCTTTTTCCAGTTGTTTGAAACCTAACCAGAGAATTTTGGTTCCTCCATTGTTGCTCTTTGGACAGATTTCGACCACACCCCACCACTTAACCCTCGTAATGGCAAGACTTTATGCCAAATCCTATGTTGAAAGGCAGTAATAACTCGGAACTCAGAGGCCTAGGCAATTGGGGTCTACAAAATTTAAAAACCGTTCTATCTAGACTTTCTTCTTTTCTCCTAATACTATTTATTACTACTACTTATTGTCACCACGTTATAATTTATTTTCTCCTCTCTTTAATTAATGATTCTGAGAATAAGTGTTACGTCTAACTTTGATCCTCATTGTTTCAGTGTCTCCTTAAATTTCCAATTTGATCTTCAATGGTTCAATAGGAAGTGACAGTTCAAAATTATTTAAAAAAGTAGTAACATATCCAACTGCATGATAAAATTTATTAGTATTATGGCAGAATTAAAGAATTGAGAAACCAACACCCACCCCCAACACCAACACAAGGTATCACACACCCAAACCCACAAAACCTATTTCTCATTTTGCCAGCGTACCATATTTATTGTCATTTGTTTTACCTGACTTTCTGCTACTTGATGATGGTAAGTATAATATTCGGATATCACTATGAGACCGAAATTGAAAATGTTTTTCAGCTGTATTTATCTTCATTAGTTTGTACCAATTAATTTTAGAAATTATTATGTAAAACAAAATAATAATAAAAATACTGTCATACAAAAATAGTACAAATTTGATGATGTGTTCAACACAATTGAGTACAAGCGAGTTGTTTGGGGATCACTGGAGTATCCAGTTAGAGCTTCTAGGCTCTTGGGGGAGGGATTAGGTTATGGATTCAATCAAATAGAAGAATGAACAGTAGGTTTGTAGTGGTTCACCTACTCAAAAACTTGACTAGTCCACTCTAATGGAATCTCTTGCTCCTGAGGAATTGTCTATTAATCAGGGAAAAGAGATTACACACAGTAGATACACTGATTATTTCTTGATTACAATGTGAGAGATTTGATGTCTATTTATAGTGTAAAATAGCCCTGCTTGATTGCCTTGTGTGATCAACATGATTTCCATTGAGACGATTACGACTCATGTGCCAGAGTATTTGGCCGTTACGGGTTACATTCCCTAAGCGTGACGTGATCTTCTGAAAGATGTCAACTGTCATTGTCATCGCGTGCATGAGGGTCTCGTTGTTGAAGATTCCCGACCTGCGCACATCTAGCTAGTGGTCAAGAGCTGTGTGTCCGAGCTTAGACGCCCGAACTGGGTAGTCCGAACTTAATGTTGGCTAATTTTGGTATCATCAAAATTATTTTTGTAAATGAATTCATATATTTTGAAAGAGATGTGAGGAAAGTGCAATTGAGGGAAGGATGTTTTTCCTTTAATTTTAGTGAAAGTGCATTGCTTTTTTACTTGAGCCAAACAAGTACAGATAGAAAAGTAAGCAGAAAAGCTCTTAGAGATCATTATCAAGTTTCAGTGACAGTAGCGTGGGTTGGGGGGCCCCTTCAATTCCCTGTTTATTAAACCACATAGCATACATAATTCATTGTTAAAGGCTACCAACTTGGGGCATATTTGGACAATTCACTTCAAAGTAACAACCACTTTTCCTAGGCAGTGAACTAAAGAGGAGAAAGAAAAGTGAAGTGGGCTAGTTGAGTTTAAAAATATCATCCGATTTGATTATAATTCAACCTGAATCATTTGTGTATACTTAATAATAATTTATTAAGTCAAGTTGAAATTAAGTTTTAATCCGTTAAATTTCAGCTTCTATTGATGTATTTGGATCAAACCAAATTTTTTTATTTTTGATAGATTCAGGGATATATTGTGAAAGTTTTTAAATAAATCGAACCCTATCCGCCAAAAATCCCCACTATTATCCGCCAACCAGCCAATGGACCCATTTAAGTTGAGTTTGGGAATTGTTTGGTGTTCGAGCAATACTATTGGAACTTAATTTACTGACTTAATTTGTTGATCTAATTCACTATAACCTTTGAATTAATTGTAGGTTCCATCAAACATTAGAACTTAGTATTTATCCAATAGTTCTAATGAAGCCACATCATTAGGTCAATAAATTATGTCAAATTTTTCGATCTAAATAACATTTTCCTCGGCGTTCAATGCGTTGTTTTTGCTGCTGACTGATGAGTCATGAGACGCAATCTCTTAACTCCTCCAGGACCAAACTGTCACCCTTAGCAGAAGCACCAAACAAGTCTCACAAGTCAGGACGAGTAGTATTTCCCCTTCCCTTGTAATTACTGTTCCATTCATTTTCAACGCTCTCTCTTGCAAATCTCTGAACTTCTCTTCATATACCAATGGCAAAACCCCAGTGATTTCTCCAATCCTCTGAATCTCAATTGGTTTTCCTTTTTTTTTAGTGGTTTGAAAGCTAATCAGAGAATTCTGATTCCTCCAGTGTTCTCCATTCTTCGTTTTTTGTGGCCATGAAAAAACCAACCAATGTGTTATCTTTATAATCCAATTGTCAGAAGGGAGAGAGGGAGGGAGAGGGAGAGATACAAATCAGGTATGTGGGTTTGTCAGTATTTCAGTTTGGATTGGGAGGTTTCATAGGACTACGGGATCTGGAGTTTACAGCGGCAGAGGTTTTTTGGGATCATCATCATGAGCAGCAGCTGCAGAGGCAGGAGTATCAGGTGGCAGAGTCATAGCAGTCGAAGATGATGAACTACAAGCAACCTGAGCAAGAGTCGTTGAAGCAAGTCATTTAACAGTTAAAAGTGTTACATAGTAGGGGAAGAGAGAGAGAGAGAGAGAGAGAGAGAAAGAGAGACTACAGCACGATTAGTTGAGTTTGTTGAATCACCAGCACCAAGAAAAAGACCAGAAGCACCCACCAGTAATATAAAATCAAGAAACATACAAGCACGCACCATCTTGAACTTCAATAACATGGGCAAGACATAACCACCTACCAAACAGAGCCTCCCAAGTCCCACCCAAAGTCATTTGGAGCAAACCACTGATTATGCAAAAACAAGTCAAAGAATGGGAATGAAGAGCAGTGGAGGAGGAGGAGATATAGTACAAGTTCAAGGAGGCCACATTATCCGATCCACCGGCCGGAAAGACCGGCATAGCAAGGTGTACACTGCAAAAGGTCCGAGAGACCGAAGGGTCAGGCTATCGGCCCACACCGCAATTCAGTTCTATGATGTGCAGGACAGATTGGGCTGTGATAGACCTAGCAAAGCATTGGATTGGCTCATCAACAAGGCCAAGAATGCCATTGACAAGCTTGCCGAGTTACCCCCATGGGACCCAAATGATATTATAATTGCCTCCAGGGTAGGCCCTAACGAAGGCTCAAGTGGGATGCCATTGGAACAACAGCATAGGCCATTGGGTGAGAACCCAGTTGATAATCCTTCATTCAGACCACCATCAAACATCTGTGAGCCCATGGAGCACACAATGAAATCCTTCTTCCCAGCGAGTTCCGGGACTCCATCAACGAATTTTCAGGACTACCCTGATGATATAATGTCAAGACCCTCAATCCAAACTCAAGATCTTTGTCTCTCGCTTCATTCTTTACAGGGCCAGAATTCAAGTCATACCCCTCAAACTGATCAAGCCCTCTACTATGGTGCAGCTCCATTAGCTTTTGAGTCCAGTTATCAGAGAACGATGAGTTGGAATAGTGGTGGGGATGCAGAAAATAGGGGAATGTTTGTTTTCAACTCACAGACAATGCCACAGCAATCACAGCTTTGTCAAAGCTCAGCATTTTCTTTGAGGGAACCCCTTCAGTCCAGTTATTCACAGAGGGATCGTGCTTGGGTTGACCTGCCTTTGCCCTCGGTAGATCATCCTAATGTACTGGCAATGCATCAATCTCTAATTTGTAGCAGCCAATTCAACACCTCGGAGTTTCAAGTGCCGACACGGATTCATGGTGAAGTGGAGATTCGGGCGGTCTCCAATAATCCCTCTGATGCTTCGCCCAGAATGAACTAATCCTTAATTTCACATCTATCAGGTAATTCCTGTGAACCCATATCTTGATTCTAATTTTCCTGTTTTTGGGTATCTTTCTTCTCAGTTTTGTCATCTCAAATGAACTTCCAGGACTCCATATAGTCTGCATTGGAGACTCATGACTATAATCAAGACTTTCAAGAAGAGATTTCAAGCAACTCGGTGACCTTATTGATTTGAGGAAAAACAACTTGGTTTGGTTCAGAACATCATATTTATCTTTTGATTTCCGTCAGTTAATTTATGTGTATATTTTCTTGTTTAAAGGGACTATCTAAGCTCAACTTTGTTTGATCTTTGCTACTTTATATCATCAGTAGACTTTGCTTTACCACTATGGTTGCTTTCCGTTTTCTAGATAAGTTTTTCTCCCTCTCATGACGATGCATTTCCAATCAGCAAATACAACAAAAAAAAAATCCTTTTGCAAAAGGTTATGTAGAGATTTAAGCAAGAAGAGAAGTCAATCAATTTGCACCTTTCTTAGAAGTTGTTGCTGTTTTTGTGGCAATTAAATATTCATCACAAGGTGGGATTAGTAAGGTTGTTATTGTGAGCGCTGCACAAAGGATTGTTAATCAGAGATGTGGTTCCATTCTGAAGATTTAACCCTATTCGGACAAATTATTCCGGAAGCAGGAATAGAGCTTTTTGGCTTCATGCACGGTTCCATTTCTGTGGTTAGCAGTTCTAACTTAGCATAAAAACTTACTAGATTTTCAAAATTTATGTAGAGGTCCGACCTCTTGACCGGTAATTGTTATGTCACAGATTCGAATAATGGAATCAGTTTCTCTAAAATGATAGTAAGATTGTCTATCATTAATCTTTCTTAGACATTGTTATAAGAAACAGTCTTGTACAGCCTTTTTCAACATTGTTTGATAATTGTTACCTATAATTTAAAAGAAACAGTCTTGTTATCATCGGTTGCCTATATTTTAGATAAATGTTTTCTCTCTCATGTCTGTGCATTTTCAATCAACCAATTTTTTTTTTTTTTTGGCAAAAGAAGGCATTCTACCCAATAAGACAAATTCTTCAGATCCTACTTGGACGAAGCAGAAGATAATGTTGATAAATATAAGTATGTCCTGTTCAATAACATTTCGAAAACATTTTGCATTTAAGCAAGAGTAGCAAACAATTTGTCTTTTTTGTAGAAGTTGTTGCTGTTTTTGTGGCAATTGAATATGCTATGCAAGATGGGATTATTATAGGTTGTTATTGAGGATGATGCACACAAAAAAATAGTAATTAGGGATTGTGTTGTGATACTGAAGATTTAACCCTAGTTGAACAATTTTTCGAAAACAAAAACATAAGATCCTATTTGGTTTGTGTCTCAAAAAATAGTATTCAAAAAACAATTTGAGAAGAATTTTATAAAACTGTTTTTTTTCAGAACTTGTTTGGTTTTATGATTCCAAAAAACAATTCTACGGAATAAAAAATTATTAAAATTTGTTTTAACAATAACCCAAAAAATAATGAAAACAAAAACGTAGTGGTGGGGATGGGAGTGTGGTGGTGGTGGCAGGAGTGTGGTGGTGGAAGAGTGTTGGAAGTAGTGCTTAGAGAAGTGTTTTGGTGGTGATGATGTTCGTGGAATGGTGGTGGAAATGTGCTGGGGGTGGGGGTGGGAGTTTGCAGGTGATAGTGGTGTGGTGGTGGTGATGAAAGTGTGTTGGTGCTGATGGTGTTGGTGGAAGGGTAGTAGTGGGAGTGTGGGAGTGATGGTGGTGATGGTGTTGTTTTCTAAATTCTAGAAATGTTATTTTCAAAACACATAAAATAGTTCTAATTTATTCTCTAAATTCACCTAATTTTTGCTCTCATATTTGAAAAAATTAAAATAAAAAACAACTGGTCAAACATTCTTTTAGAAACTGTTTCCAAAAACATAAAACAATTTTTGAGATACAAACCAAACAGGATCTAACTTATTGGCCTCATGAACAGTTCCATTTATTTGGATAAAAGTCCAACTTAGCATAAAAACTAGCTAGATTTCCAAAATGTATCTATGGTTGGATATTGAATGTAACAAAATGCTCGTCCATGAAAATGTTACGCTACAGATTTGAGTAGTGGAATTAGCTTCGTTAAAATGGAAGTAAAAATGTCTATCATTGACTTTTCTCCAACCTTGTTACAAGTAGTAACTTTGTATACGGGTTACTCTAACATGATATAATTTTATCTCATTGATAAAAATAATATCATTTTTCCACCAACAAAAAAAAAATGGAATGCAGCCGAAAATTCAAGTCCTCGACACTTTAAACCAATTAGGGACAAGAAAGATGATAGAAATTAGAAAGAGAAACATTACCACTTGCAGGCTATGTAAAATTGCAATAATCCAGCAACAATATTCAGTCCCTCACCATGCTATTTTTCAAATAAAATCTCAATGACATTTAAGTTATGAATTCAAGTGACATATTTTATCTTCTCTCACTTAAAATTAATCTATTAGCTCATTCACATAGCTCAATTCCCAGCTCAGCTCAAGCTAGCCCTATCCAAGATCAAGAAGACATCACTCCAACATAATCAGATCCAGATCTTGCAGCATTACTTATGTCATCAAAATAGGGAGATACACAGCTAACATGGATCGATGATATGGCAAATTAGTTGTAACAAACTCCAGCTAATAACGGATGTCAGAATTAGTTACACAGTTGAGAAGTTAGATTATCTCCTTGTATAAATATGAGATCAATCTGTAAAACAAAGATGAGATAAATAAAATGTACTTTTAGACCTCCAAAGTTTCTGCTATTCTTTCATGGTATCAGAGCCTGAGAGAGACCTCCATCTCCAGTAATGGCTTACTCTTCTTCTTCCTCTTCAACTTCTTCTTCTACCTCTTCAATTTCAACTTCTTCCTCAATCACACATTCACCAATCTTTCTCTTATCAAATATTTGCAATCTTAATATCCGTAATGACTTAACTAAAAAATCAAATAAGGGGTATAAGTCATTCATAATAGAACATGAATTTTACAAACAAAAATCATGTTCTATTATGTCATTGATTTAAATAAAATCAAAAATAAAAATCTATTTTTTAAAAAAAATCATAGTTAGTATACAATTATACTATCTATTAGAATAAAACTAAAAAATTAAACAAGGAGTCAAATTGTAACGGACACAATATCTTTTAGCTTCAATTGAGGTAGTTTGATATTTTAATTTAGTCGTTTAAATGACCAAATTAAATACCAATAAACAATATAAATGTATACTAATTACGATTTTTTTAAAAAAAATTGAATTTTTTATTTTTGATTTTATTTCATGAAATGATACAATGGAACATAAATTTTAATTGTAAAATTTAAAATATTTGATATTCTATATTTGATTGAAGTATTTTTGGTCTAAGTATAACATTTTAAACTTTAGGGGTCCAAATAATATATATTTGCGAACTTCAGGGGGTCTGGATGTAATTTATCAACAGATATATTTACAGCAGGAGTCTAAGTGTTATACGCGTACAAACTTTAGGAGGTATGTAAATATCATGAGGTTTGAGTGATTAAGTGACAAACCTCAAAGGACGTGGGTGTAATTCTCCCCAACATTTACGATGGTCTTATTGACAAAAATGCAAATCCTGGAAAGTGTACTGTTCACTAATTTTTGCTAAATTATATCATTTTCTAGAGAATAAAGAATAGAAGTCATTTAGTCGATTAATCAACTCGAATTGAATTTTAACCTGCTCGAATTTTGATGTATAAAAAAATATAAATTTTAATTGACTCAAATTCTCATACATAAAAAATAAATTTTAATTCGCTTGAATCGAATTTTAATTGACCGTAAAAGAAAATATAAATTTTAATCGGCGCTAACAACTCACATTAAGCTCGAGTCGGCTCGAATTTTAATACATAGAAAAAGAATTTTATCAGGCTCGAATTTTAATACATAAAATAAATAAAATATAATCAGTTCGAATCAATTTTTAATTAGCTTTACAAAGATTATTTGAAGTTTATGTGGAGGAAATTTTGATATTTTATATGATTTTTTTTTTGTTAGAAACATTAGTTTAATGCGTGTCAGTAATTTTTAAATATAAATGATAAATTACATTCAGACATTCTTAAAGTTTGTCACTTAATTACATAGACTCCCTCATGTTTGAAATATTACACTTAGATCTCTTATGAAAGACGATCAAATAATGAAGCCAACAGAAATGATTAAAAGACCAAAATTCCCCCCAAAATACAAGATATTTTCTTAATTAACCTATAGTTACCAAAATACCCCTTTAACTATATCTTTAGATTTTTCTCTCCCCCATCTGTTTCTCTCTCAATCACTACCATATCCTTCCCCCATCTCTCTCTATCTCATACACACACACATAAACCCAACCTCCCCCCAAAGCTCCCTTCTTAGAGCAACTCCAACGGGCTCATCAAATGCCCCTTCTTAGCTAGTTTACATAGTGTCTTCTGTAATTCCCCTCCAACTGACTACCTTTCTGCCCTAGCTATTTCCCATAACATCAATTTACTAGCTATTTATGGGGAGGCAAAGGGGATCGTTAGTTTTTGCGCCAAGTTTCACTCCACTGTCTTCATCAAGCACCGAAGCACAGGTATGCTCTCTTCATTCTCTATATATCTCTCTTTCTCTATATTCGATCTTTGTTGGTTCCCACTGAAAAACCCATAAAAATTCCCCTGAAAACCCACAAAAAACCCAAAAATCTCACTGAAAAACCCCCAAAATCCCACCCAAAAATCTATTGAAACCCCACCTAGTAGAGAAAAGACAACCGAAAAATCTTCATCAACTGTTCGTGTTGGGTAGAGAGAAGACAAGTAAAAAACCCATAAAATCAGAGTAAAAATCCATTTGGATTGTTGAGTACCTGAGTATTTGGATTTTGTGGGTTTTGGTGTTGGTACCAGAGTATTTGGATTTTGGGTACCTGAATATTTGGATTTTGTGAGTTTTGCAGATTTTGTAATTAAAGTTAGTTAGAATAGTTAGCTAAAATAAAAGCGTTGTTGAATTAAATTAGTAGAAGTTGGTCTTTAAAATATATAGTGTAAAAAATATATATATTTTAGCTAGTTATTCTAGATAGTCTCATTGGAGTTGCTCTTATAACCCTCATCTCTCTCTGTGTGTATCAGACACACACGCAAACCCACCTCCCTCTAAACTCCTCTCCTACGCAGACCACACCTCGTCATAACCCTCATTTCTCTCTTGTTACACACACACACACACGCAAAACCACCTCCCCCAAGCTCCCCTACTACACAGACCCCCCTCCCCCAAAACTCCCCTCTTACGCAGA